ATAGCAGCTGCGGGCGAAGCCTCCTCCCCTGCGCTGGCCTCTCCCCGGTGGAGCAGGTGGCGAGCGTCGAAGCGATGATGGTGATTTTCACGCGGTGGCAGGAGGGTTGAGGTTGGAAGGCGCCTCTGGAGATCATCCCGTCCAACGCCTCTGCTCAGGCAGCGTTGCTTACAGCAGGTTGCCCAGGAGCTATACTTTTCCCCTAGCGCAGTATGGTTTTCCTCAGGACCGTGCACTGCATGTCACAGTTGCATAGTGGCTGTCAAATCTCTGGGCACGTGTGTAATTAGGCAGTATTTGTCAACTGTTTAAATAACTACTATTTACTGCGTTTGGTGTTACGCTTGGTTCGCTCCGCTGCAACGAAAAATCTGCACTAGTACAAACTAAAATCTACGAAACAAGAAGTGAAGGAAAGGGAGGCATTTTTCACGCCAGTGGTAGCTGCTTCCCGTGAGAAACTGCCATAACACCAGTATCGGGGATTGCAGGTGCAAGGCCATGAGTCCAACAGCACCAGAAAAACACTGTGGGAACACAAGGGAAAACTGCTCCTGAAGCTCTGAGAAAACACTGCTACAGCAGCTGCGGTGAAAGGTTACAGACCTGCAAACAGCATGGCCTTTGCATGGCCTGAAGTTAAGGCACTTCAGGCACAGTTCACCACTCTCATCTGTATTTCTTCACGCAGGGAAACTCACAAATCCAATGCTGGACTGAAGTTTCTGATAGGGCAGGACTGAGGAATCTAGTCTCTGCAAAAGATGGAATTAGAAAGAAGTTTGGAAGCAGTTGAAACCAGTAGGTGGAAGTAGAGAAGTCAGGAGATCCTGTGCAGTGGTGCTGGCCAGTGGGGCAGAGCAGCTCTGGGGAGGATAGCCCTTAGCTGAAGCAGCTGGCCTGGTGTCCAAGGCTTGTAATCCAGGGCACGTTGAGGTGCTTTAGAGAGGGGAGAGTTGAAGCTGGCAGAGCTCCTGTGTAGTAAGGGCTGTGTGCCTGTCTGTATCTCTGATGTATTGACGGGGAGGTGGGCGATCACTCCACCTGCGGTGGAAAGTGCTGGGGTCTTTAGTTCTGAAGTGCATGAGTTGAAAGGGCTGTAGGCAGGCCACCTGCTTTCCAGTAAATTTACAGGAAGAAAAGTTGTACCGGAGCGACAACAAGGGAGTGTAGATGAAGGGCTGCAGGTCACAACGTAACAGCCAGGAGAATGAAGAATTAAGGCCTCAGGTTCTTCTACTGCCTCTCCTTTGGGAAGTCACTTGATCTCTGTGCTTTCCTTTCCTCTCTGTCTTTTGTCTGCCTTGTTTATGTTAGTGGTGCACATAGGCACATGAGTTGTCTCTGCCTGTGTGACTGTTTGAAGTGCAGATCTTGCTTAGTGCATCTCGGTACTACAGTAATATGGACTCGAACGATGGACCAAAAAAACTCCTTAACGATATACTGAAGGGGTGTTTTGAACTAGAGAACTATGGATAGAACAGAAAGGAAACACAGTAAAACATTATTAGAGACAGAAAGTATCCAGTAGTAGCATCCAACAAATCCTGAAATGCAGAACATTTGAAAAAAGGGGGAAGGAAACAAAACAGCCATAAAGAGAAAATAAGGAATGTTAAAATTGCACACAAAGCAGAGGAAACGCTACAAAAATGATCACAGGGATGCAGAAAAAAATTGCATAAAATAATTTAAAAAGACAAAGTCGTTAAAAACAGCCTAACGGTGCAGAGCTCCCCCACCAACCAGGAAAGAGAGAGCCAAAAAAGAATCAGAAAAGCAGTAGGAGAAAATGGCATGAGAAGGATTACTCTTCTAGATTTTTAGCTCAGACTTGTATCAAGGAAGTACAAGTAAAGGTTTATGTAATGACAGAAATATTGATCAGTGTAGTAGAGCTGCTGGGTGACCTGACTGATAATAGAAGATGACATGGTGATAAAAGTGATTGAAATGATGAAGATTGCAGATTGCCAGTGTAAGAGAAGAGCAAGAAAATTATAAAGTGGATATTTTTGCTATGTAGCCAGAGTAATCAAGAGAGTAAGGAGACTTCTTTGATAGTTGGTCTCTATCAGTGCCAGTCCTTTAAAAGAAAAAAATAAGCAAAGGAGTTTCCATTGTTTGCTCGGAAAAGGAGGAGCTCATTCATGGTGTTACCATCTTTTGTATGGTAATATAAGTAAATTGCCCATTTCTCGGTTTTGCTAAGAGTTTAAGCGACTGTGTGCTGCATTAAAAGTGAAAGTGCCATGCCATTGACAGCTGCTGCTGGGAATAAGGATGGCAGGGTTTTTACGTTTTGGCTAATGGGTCTTAGGTGACCATGCAGCTGGTCCTGTGTTTCCCCTGTAATAACTGGTGAACGCAGTATGTGCGTTTGAATGAGAGGCAGAAATCTCTTCAGGCAGTAAATTTTGCCTTGTAAGTGCAAGTGCAGAAAGGTGCTGTTACTGACCTGTAGAGGGAAAAGCGGTATTGTGAGCCTATTAGATGCCAAGGACTCTCCGTGGGCAGAGCACCCTTGAGTTGCAGATCTCTAGCAAATCTGGTTTATTAGCTCTGTTGTTTGAGCGACAATTTGTGTCCTTGATCACGCTTCCTTCCGAACTAACACGTGCTGACCGGATGGCGTTCAGCGTCGTTGCTCACACCAGCATCGCTTTTGCCAGCTATTCAACATGGATTACAGACAGGCCAGATCCTGCAGTAGGAGCATATTTCCTCAGAGTGGCATAGCAGGACAAGAAACAACAGTAGGCTTCCCTGTATTTAGCTGGTCTGAGAATGGACAACAGTTGTAGCCATCCTGCTGCTGTCAGGACCAGCTTCTGCCTTTTCATGCTGCCGTTGTGGATTGCTGGGGTCTGTGGATTGCTTCTGAGGGCTCCTTGAGGTAAGTCAGAAAAGCAAGCCCATTGCCAGGAGGCTTAAACTCGTTACAAAGGAATTGTGCCTTTACAAGAACAAGTGAGGATGCTTGAAAGCTGTGAGTTTAACCGAGTTTTAAAGTGAGAAACCAGACCAAAACTTGATGGGATTGAGGCAAATTCTTCCATAAGCTGCAAAAGGCTTCTGATCGGTCCCCAGCTGCTCAGATTAACTTACTGAGCTGTGGTCTGCTCCCAGCATGCTAGCTTCGGTCATGTCAGCCTGAAGCACTCTAAAAATATTAGCCAGGCCTGAAAAGCATGAGCCTGCCTCAGTAGGAGTCTGCCTTACACAACAGTATTTGGAGGTTCTTGTTACATACCTGCTGGCTCAGAGTCAGCAGAGAGTGCACTTTTGTTACAGTTTTAATATCTGTCACCACACTTTACAAAGGATAACAAAACCCTACCTGAAGCTTCTACTTAAAAATATGATTCCAGCAGCTGGGACTTTGGGGAAGAAGAAACCACAAATAGGACAAGAGCTAGGATAAAGCTCTGAACAAGGAGTGGAGAATAAATTCTTGTTCATGTCTGAGCAGGGCAGTGACAATTACTATTGTTTGCATTGAGGGGAGCCTCGTAACCCGGAGGGAAATCAGAGCTCCGTGGTGCAGTATGTGCAGCAAGAGGGGGCCCTTCTCTGGAGGGCTGCCATCGGCATAGCTGTGGGAAAGGATGGAGGAAGAAAGGGGCAGAGAAGGGGCAGGGTGCCCGGCAAAGCTGGAGGCAAAATCGAAGTGACCTAGCTGTTGTCCCTCAGGGAGTCTCTATGTATCTGTGTTAGCCTGGGCATAGCCCCGGCTGCCTTCCTCACCCTCTGCGTCCTGGCCAAAGCTGCTACTTGTTGCCTCCTCCTTGTCTCTGGACAGCTATTCCTTCTCCTGTTTCTCTGTCGCCCAGGACCCTCAGCCCCAGGAGTGCTTCCAGGATTGCAGGCAGGCAATCCCTGCACATGCCAAAAAGGGAGGGAGACAGGAGCGTTGTGAGAAGAGGTGATGTGAGGAGCTGGCTGCCTTCTTACTGGCAGTCTTTTCCCTACCTGTATCCGAGGGGCTTGCGGAGGAGGGTAGGCCATGGGCCACTGCAGCTGCTCTGGAGGGCTGGACTCAGCTGGCAGGTTGTCAGTGAGGCTTGCACCCTTTTCACCTGGCAGGAAGGCTGCAGGCATGGCCCACCGCGGCATAAGCTGATAAGCTGTGTGCATAGCATTTGTATACATGAGTTCACTGATCTGTTTTACAGCTGTGCTTCAGGCTCGCTCCATGCTGCCCGAGGGTTCTTCCAGTTTCCCCTCCCCCCCACGCCCCCCCCCCCCCCTCCCTCGCTCTGCAGGTGTGCGCTGTGCCCCTCTCCTCACTGCCCACTCCCAGGAGTCCCCCAATCCCTGCAATACAGAGCTGGACTTTTTCTTTTTTGGAGGGGAGAGGGAGAGCTGTTGAATTTTTGATTTCTTGTTCTTGTCCATTTTTTCCTTCAACCTTTGAGGCATGAAATATGGTGTTTTCCAGTGTTTGTGTATAAATGCAGATATGTATGGACAAATGTGTAGGCATCAGATATTTGTTTATGAATACAATGTATGGACAGGTGTGCATGTATCTGATAGATATGTATGTGTAGATATGTATAGACCTGCGTAGGCATCAGATAGATAAATACAGGACCTCTCTTGAGCCAGCGTAACCAGCCTTTTAGAGCAAATGTCTTTCAGTACAAAGAATGAACGCCAGAAACTGCACAGAGAGAGGTGGCTGATCTCTGGAAACACAGACCTGGCGGGCAGGGTTGCTTCCTGGTTGCTATGCAGAGTTTCGCTGGGACACCCCTGCAAGATGAGGAGTGAGGGGTTGTCTCAGGCACCGTCATTTTTGTACTTGGGGTGCCTGCCCCAGCTCTGAGCCTGAGGGATGGTTGCCTGCTCTGGGAAGCACAGCGGGCTCACCAGGCACTTGAGGGCTTCCCAACTTCCCTGGCGCGTTTCTTTTTCTGACAAGCTTCTGGCTGGATACAGTGAATCCAAGTCCTCTTGAAGACAGCCCCAGTTTAAACAACAGTGCTGTTGTGAAGAAAAGAAAAAAAAAAA